GGCGGCACGCTTGCGCAACGACAATTACAGCTTGCAATTTTCGGAGAGCGCGCGCGCGGCAGTCTTTGAAAGCTCGTCGCGCGACCGGAATATTAGTTTACGAGCACGACGTGGCAGGGGCCGACCTGAGAGAGCACGCCAGGCGTAAGGTATACGGCCTTCGCCTGCTCGTTGCGCGCAAGTGATGCACGCCGGGCGCAGCCTCGAGCGACTATATTTAGACCGAGGCAGGCGACGACGAGATAAACAATCGCTGATTGCCCGGGCGACGTCGCGGCCGGCTCGTAATCAAAGGAATCTCGCGCTTCGCCGCGGAGACGCCGTCGCCACAGGCCGCAGGCCAAAGGCCTCTACGACAGCACCGAGTGAGGCCCAATCGCAGTGCAGCGCCGCCTCGTGCGCATGTAACGCGTCTGCTCGAATGGGCCGTCACTGCGCGTGAAAATTAAATTGGAATGACGCGCGCTGCCGAGGACGCCGCGAGTTTTCTTCGCATTCAACGGGATCCCGGTGGCCGTGCTCGCCGAACGAATTCGCAACGCGTCTCGATCGATCGTCGTCGTGGAAAGTGCAGGTGCAGCAGCGCAAAGCGAACGAACGACAAAATCTCGGTCCTGCGTTGCTTGGCGTCAGACTCTTAGCCCTCGACGGTCTGGCGTGCTGCGCATCGTCGGCCTTATCAGCGCGCGCCGCGGCGCTCGAGCAGCGGCCCCGTTATCGCGTCCCCGCGTGCGCCGTCGCGAGGCAAATGGGTTGGGCAAGCGAGCAATTCGCTTGGATGCTAATTCCTGCCGAGCCCCTTTTTTCTCTCTCCGTGCTGCGCCCATGGGCCTTTGCAATTTCACCGAGCGGTCGGTCGATCCACGTCGTACGCGCGCTCTTTTCTCGCTTGCCTCGTTTGGCTATTACACGCCGCCGCGCGCCTCCTCTCAGAGTAGCGAGATACGCGTTCTGCGTGTGCGCCGAGAACGGCGAGCGACGGAACTTTCGCGCGCGCAGGCATTGAAATTATATTCGCGAACGCGAACTTTCCATTTGATCTGACTTGCAGGCCGAGGCTTATTCTTTAATCGCTTTGTCGACGACTAGCGCGCATACAATTTAACGAAGCTGCCAATCAATGGAAGCCCAGTTTGCAAAACATCGCTTGCGCCGCTCGATTCTCGAACGTCATCGCTGTGTAGATACGCGAAGCCAGGTGTCGCGTCGCACAGGCCGCACCGAGTGCGTCGGCGCTCGGCAATAACGAATATCGACTGATTCCGGCTCCTTCAGAGAAAGCGCGCGATTCGCCGCGCGACTCTTTATCGTTAGGGACACTTTCTAGCTCTGCCTCCGTGGTGTCTTTTGCGTCGGCGTCTCGTTGTAGGCTGCTGGCACGCTCCATCGGTTACCGGTCGTGCCAATTCAAAGGCCTCGCTCTCGCCGAGTTTGTTCGCTCGGAGCGCGCGGGCGTGGCGTCTCCGCTCTGGAAATTCCGAATGGGCGATGTTTTCCGGCCGAAATACAAGCGAACGAACGCTGTCAGTCAGCGCACTCCTGCACTTTTATCTACCGAGGAGATGCGCAACGCGGCGCCGGCGACGACGAAAGAGAAGAGGAGGCGCACTGGGTGTTGGAAATGTTGGCTGTGACGTGCGTTTCGCAACGGGGAAAGGAGATGCGGCGCGCCGAAAGGACCGCGTGGCGAACGCGCGCGCGCATTGTCCCCCCCCCCCCCCCCCCCCCCCCCCCAGCTAACTCGAGCGAGATGCTGCGCGCGCGCGCGCGCGTACGAAGGAGAGCTCGTCGCGGCGCGAGCAATACCGCCGAGAAATTAGTCAAGGTGGAAGGGATCCGAGTTCGTCGCCGCCGCAGCTCGCACGCTTCTTGACAATTTTAACGCGCTGCGATCGAAAGTCGGCTAAATGTACAAAACGCTGCCGGCGAACGGACGGCTCGTATTGTCGTGTGTATGTGCGCGCGCGCACTGACGATTAAAAATTACGAGTTACGGCGGATAACGGGCGCACAAGTTGGCGCGTCAAGCGTGTAAATTGTCGGCGCGCGCGCGCGGGTAACGACTGCGTTTAATTTCATTCAACTAGCCACGTTCACCGCGCGCGACGTTCTTAATTGTCTCGTCGTTCGCGCGACCCAGCAGCCAGCGAGAGGCGCATTCCAAAAGGAGTGACGACGGTAATCGCGGCAACGTTTCACGGCAATTTCGCGCCCGCGAAGATGGCGCTCGAAGTCGGCGCAGCAACGGTCGCGGCGTGAAAATTATTCCCGATGGCGTATTCGCGGGCAGGGGTCGAGCGATTAGCGCCCACGACAGTTTCCTCGAGCAGTCGGATATCCGCGGCTGGAAAGAGAGTCGACGAAACCCGTCGAGGAGAGCACAGACGCGACGCAGCGTAGTCTGCCTTCTGGTACAGTCGCGAACGAACGATCTCTCTCGCGCGCGCGCGTGCAGCCCGTAAATTATTCGGCGTACATCGCTGCCGCGGTGCCGTAAGCCCTGACGCGAAAAGCCGAGAAAAGTCTTTGTACTTTTCACGAACGATGTCCGCGCACGACAAGCCGTTGTTGATTTATTTAGTCATGGTGTGTACTCCGCTCTCCCCGTTAAGACGCGAAAACCACGTTATTTTCCATTCTCGCGCGAGCTGCCAGTCCGTTGTCGCGCATACAAAGCTGGCGTTCGTACGAGCCCGCGCAGCGTTCGACGCTCGAAATCCAGTGTCCGAGCGCGCGCGACGAGTCGCCAAAGGGCTTTCGACAAAGCGACTCGCGAGCGAAAGCGCAGTGGCGAAACGGCATTGTGCGCGCGAGTCAGAGCGAGAGAGGTGGCGAACACTCGCGATAACGGGCATTTAATTGATCGATTTACGGGCGGCGATTGGGCAACGCGCTCTCGCGCCGCGAATCCAGGTCGATCGATTGCCTCGGTCGCGCGCGCGGGTCGGCTGCGTTTGCCGGTCCCGGGCCGATTATCGAAACAACGACACGGGGTAGGCAGACGTCAATTTGCTTGCCTTTTTTTTCTCAGTTTACTCCTTCCCACGAAGCCCCGCGCGCGGCCTTGCGTCATCCGTCAAACGGTTTTTCTAAGGACTCGCTCTCGCTCCGCCGGCGCCGGCCTGGGCTCTCTCTCTCTCATCTTGATTGCCTCGCAGGCACGCGCGGTGCCCGACGAGCCACTAATCACATTTTCGCCGAAAACGTCGTTGCGCAAGGGCATCCGGATTATTGTCGATTATCGCGAGCCTCGCTGTGCGCTTTGTTGGGTGCGCTCGCTTTTTCTTGTTTTTCTTGTTTTTCTGGAAAGAGGCCGAGGCGAAAATCGATCGTACGTGCCGCGTCGTATTGCGAAATCGCGTTGAGTTTTCGCTATCCGAGAGTCCAAACAACGAAGGCCACATCTACGAGGCGAAGAACAAGCCCTGAACTTTTGTCGCGCGGTGCAACTCCATAGTTGCAGCCGCGAATTCGAAAAGGACGACGACGACGCGCAATTGACGAGCTCGCGCGAGCGTCAGGTAAAGGGAACGTCGAGAATGCCGCGTGCCGGCAGCGTCTCGATCTCAAAGTGTCAGTTGGATTAGCTTTCGCGAGTGCGAGCCCACCGACGTGTCGTCTTTCTGCGTTGCATTAAACTAGCTTTCTCGTGTCGTTTCCGTCCTGTAGAGTCTGAATTGGCGTTCCCTCAGCGACGAGATCCGAGTCCAGTGCTGCAATTGTATGCATGAAAATATGATAATGCCGGTATTCTTAATGCTCTCTCTTCCTTCTTCTCCTCACCGTGATTATCAACCCTCCGCCATTGTTCGATGCGGCCGCCGTGTCCCACGCCGCGCGCGCCAAGCTGAATTCTTTGCTCGTACGTAGCCCGAGTACAAGAGAGAAGAACGAAAAACGGTCCGCGACGGCACGCAGCACACACAACAATGACCCGATAATTCTCTGCGCGCGAAAAAAACAACTCGGACTTGCCTTCAAATCCCATCCTATCGTTGCTTCCCAATGTAAGTCGCGTCACGCGCATAATTCGCGGTGTATGCAATTTGCAAGGCACGTCGTGTGGCATTACGATATCCTCTCGGCGAGAGGAGAAATCGATACCGATTGCGCGCGGACGCGACTGGAGAAACGCGTGTGCGCGCGAACTGCGGCTACAGCGTCGTCGTCGTCGTCGTCGTCGTTGTCGTCGTCGTCATCGTCGTCATCGTCGTCGTCGTTGTCGTCGTCATCGTCGTCGTCGTTGCGAACAAACGGGAGCAAGAAATCGCGCGACGCTCTCGATTCGGATTATTGACCGTGTCGCCGTTATTGTCGCCGAGAAATAGAAATGGAAAACCGGCCGGGGCATCGAGGCGTCAATCGGGAAACGAGATTTTTCTTTTCAGCTGCAGTTCGGCTCTCTACTGGCTTGTCGCAAGCTTGGCTCGACCGTGTTACGATTGGCGGCTTGTTAAGCAGACGGTCGAGCGGAAGATTGACTTGGAGGAGCGTGGTCAATTCTGCACGGTAGAAAGCTGACGGTGGCCACGCTCCGCGCGCCCGTTCGCGCGAAGTGCTTGCTTACCGCCGCCGTCGCGCATGTCTGTAGATCTCGCGTGAACAATTTCCCGTTTCGGCGAGCGAAAGCTCCTTGCGACCAGCGAAACTCGAGCTTCATTGACAAACGTCATTCGGAATTAACGAATACTCGAGTCGACCAATAGTCGTATCGTCGAGTGGTTTAGCGCACGAGAACGTTCACATTGTCGGGCCGATTAGTCGGAGATTACTGCAGTTTCATGCCCATGTGCAGGCGCCGTTGTCGTGATCCATAAAACGGCCACTAAAGAAGTGTCGTAATAACTGGCACGTAAAACTAGCTAACGCAGGTGAACGATAGTTGACTCTTTTACGATGCAATTTGTTCGCCATTTTTTCACCTGTCTGCTCCGTTGAGTAGCGCCGAAACAACCTTGAAGCGATATAAAATTAACGCATTTGCGAATCGGTCATTGCAGGCTTCGACGATCGACGGGCGCAGAAAAGGTGCCTGCCTCTTCTGCCAGGAATACTTCATGGACTTGTACCTGTTGGCCGAACTGAAGACGATCTCGCTGAAGGTGACGACGGTGGATATGCAGAAGCCACCGCCGGACTTCCGCACCAATTTCCAAGCGACTCCGCCGCCGATTCTCATCGATAACGGCGACGCTATCTTGGAGAACGAGAAGATCGAGAGACACATCATGAAAAACATTCCGGGCGGGCACAACCTCTTCGTGCAGGACAAGGACGTCGACACTCTCGTTGAGAACCTTTTCAGTGTGAGCATTCTTCTTTACGTCTCGCCTTATTTTATCATTGGAATTGTTGGCGCTACGACCCATCCTACTTTTTCTCCTCTACTCCTTGGTAGTTTCATAATGGCGTTTACTTTACATTCAACTTCAAATTCAAATTCTACTGTCTCTGTGTTAAACGTGTTTCTATCTCAAGAGATATCGCTAAAATAGGAGTATAAAAGCTAAAGTATTAAAGCATATATGCTCAACTACTTCTCTATGACGTAATTTAACAGTTTTGAGAAAAGCAATCTCTTCGGCTGTCTATGTAATTACTATGTACTTTAAACTGACAAATTGAATGAATATCCTTAATTTATATAATTATAGGCGTGTTGAAGAAAACACCAATAATGCAAAGCCTAAGTCGTGTAGAGTAATTGTTAAAAGTGTTGCGTCATGAATTATGACGTCTTTCCGAAAGCTAATACAACGTTCTCATGCGAAAATTGACAATACATGTTTCCAAATTGAAAGTTAAAACTAATAACTAATGACTGATAATTGCGACGTCGTTGCAGAAACTAAAGCTGCTGCTGCTGAATGCAAAGGACAAGGACAAGGATCCCAAGTCGTCATCGCTGATGGCGCATCTGCGCAAAATCGACGAGCACCTAGGCCGCAAGGGCACGCGCTTCCTCACCGGCGACACGATGTGCTGCTTCGATTGTGAGCTCATGCCACGGCTGCAGCACATTCGCGTGGCCGGCAAGTATTTCGCCGACTTCGAGATACCCGAGAGTATGGTTCATCTGTGGCGGTACATGCATCACATGTACAGGCTCGACGCTTTCCTGCAGAGCTGTCCAGCCGATCAGGACATCATCAATCACTATAAGCTCCAGCAGGTACGTATCGTCAAATTTTCAGATTGAACCGCACACTCGTGGGCTTGTCCAAGATCTTCGTTAGCTTTGTGTGTTGTTAGTTAATGACAGGCCAGTTAACGTACATTCAACTTAGTAATATGTCGTTCAGCACGATATCAATCACGTTAAATCCAAACGTCAATTAAGTTGTTTCGTTCATTCTGTAATCTCACCTAAACTTGAACTTCTGAAAACAATATGTTAATCTTCGATAGTTTTATACAAATGTTCCGTGGATAGAGCAGTGATTCGTAACAAATTATCAAATTGCTCCAAATATAATTGGTGGAATATTTTATATAAAACTACATTACTCGTAAGATATGTTAACGATAATCGTATAAGTTTTATTGAAAGGAAATCCCTATCTTGAGCAGATTTCAAACAACTTCACAAGATACTACAATTTCTATGATGAATGGAACGTTGTTGTCGGTTACGTCACTTTAGCGTATCCTTTTCTCATCAGTCGTATAGTAGTTTTATGTATGTGCCCGCAGGAATTTGAATGTCATTAAACATTCATGAATGTATTTATTCACCTTCCGAGAGTATAACTTTCGAGTTTACAGGTGAAATCGCAATTTGCGCATTCTTTTCAAATAGCAATTCAGTTTAAAGATGAAATGTCGCTTTCATCTTTTAGCCGCTTCGTACGAATTGAACATCTCACAGCAATTAAACAAACCACGATTCTCAATATAACGAACATCACTCATCGTCCTCGCGAGTGTATGACTTCGTGTACGTAATTTGTCGGTACCCTCGTAATCTAATCTGACGATACGACAAAAACGTGACCTACATTACTCCTTTTGCCGCTAACTCACTTAGCAAGTACTTGTTGTCTAATTAATAGGATGCCCAGAATTAACGTTGCGTTGCCCAATTACAGTCGACAATCACGATTCACACACACACACACGCGCGCGCGCACACACACACACACACACGCGTGCGCGCGCGAATTTACCTAAGATTTGGTTCGTTTTTTAATGTTACAGAGCATGAAGATGAAGAAGCACGAGGAATTAGAAACACCGACTTTCACTACGAGCATCCCCATCGAGGTCAACGACGACTAAAAACCTTTGGACACATCATCGGGGCTGGGCCTTTCGTGTACCACGTTACTCTGTTGTTGTTGGCTTACGCGTGTTTGTACCATAATCATATCCCCTTATAAACATCTCTCGCCGACCACGCAACAATGCGCCAAGACGATCTTCACGAGTGAGCCGAGACAGAGACCGCTTTGCTCTTTTTTCAATCTACATTTTGTAATTATCGGCGCTATATATATACAATGAAAAGTCGGAGATGGTTGACGTTTTGAGCACAATGAACTATTTTTTCACCTTTTTGATAATCGCAAAAACAGCTGCTTCTTCGACTACAAGGCTTTGTTTAAAAAAATTCACGACAGTATCGAGCTTTATCACACGAGCCGGTTGCGTAGATTTTTTTCTTTTTATCTTTTTCCTTTGTTTTCTCTTTCTTTTTTTTATCTTTGCGAGGCATATTTGCACTGTAATGGAAGGTTAACAATTAAGAAATCGAAACGCCAAATGATCGTGTTGATCATTTTTTATTTTCTTTGTACGCTACGTACATTGAAGCACATGCGTGTTCTTAGAATGTGAAACGCGATAAATTGTATTTTTCTACATATTCAGTGCAAAACGCGTCCGTCCTTTTTGAAGCAACGACCGCTTTTGTGTGTAGAAATAAAAATAAAACAAGAAAATAAAATGCATTTAAGCTGTACGCATCGGAGGACACAGTGATGCATTTGTGCCGATTGCCGATGAGTCGTCGTCGTCGTGTGCTTTTTCACTTGGTATATTTTCGTGACAATCGAGCGCCAAATTTCTACCAAGCGCGCGCACGCACGTGAGCTTGCGCAATCGCTAGTCTTCCGCCGAGACGTACAAATTATTTGCGATGCATATACCTCTAGCGAAAATCAAATAAAGCAAAATTCTTGCGGACGGCGTAAATCATTGGGCAATTCGATTTTTCCTGCTGTTCGTGAATGCGAAAGACTTATAAAGTTGTATATCCAAGTGTGCTATCTATACATATATAAATATTATATATACTTATGAAACAATTAAGTAGATCTTATGTACTTATATGCAAATATCCTTTGTATGAATAAAGTTTTCAAGAAAACAAAATTGCAATGGAAGTATAGCTTCTTTTTTTATCAAAATTTATTTGTAAATAATTATGCATTTTTACATGCAGACGTGAGCTTGTATTTTCTACAGTAACATTTGTTGCGCGGAATTTTGTACGACTTAGAAGACAATGCCAACAAAAAAAAGCAACATTATGCATTTTCAGACAAATTATTTAAGCTAGGAATTCTACAATGCGTTTTTCAAGGTATTTTGATTTTCTATTGAGAGAAAAAAACTCCTTGTCCAATAATTTACATCGTTTTTTGTTTGCGTACATACATCAATATATAAAAACGCCAATGCATTGTACATTCTTTTTTGAGTTATGATTTCTTATCGATTCGTCTACAGGCGATTAACCTAATGTCTAGGCAAAGACGGTGAACTTGAAAAAAGAACATATATCGTTATCACAAGATTTCCGACTCGAACTATATTACGTAAGTGACCACTTTTCACGTTTTGTCGTATATTTACGAACGCGTCGACAACAAAAGCCGTGGCGATTGAAATAAAAGAAATCGTATTTAAAAAAATCAATATTTTGATATATGGTGTTTTTTTCATGTTTCTGTTTTTCAAATATATTTTTTTCGGCATTTAAAAAGAAAGAACTCATTTGTCAAATGAGAAGCGGATCGCTTTTTCTCGTATTATTAATTATATTAATATTATGATTATTGTATTATTGAATATTTGATTTATACTTGTAGAAATCAATATACCAGTGTTTACAATATGTGTGGTGTTTTTCGTACTTCCTCGACATACTTCCAAAAACACAAAATTTTATTGTAGCTAAATTGTTAAAATTGGTGTAACAATAAAGAAAAATATAGTACAGCAGATTTTAAATCAGTCTCCTTTTTAAAGAAAAAATTGAATACATCTTCTTGTATAACTAAGTTAGTATTTGGCAACATACAATTAAATTACAAGTCAAAACAAAATGAAAGTTTCTTTCGAAGATCAAAACGATATAGTGATATTAAATCAAAACGATTTTCGCCAAATGGGAAAATAAAAATATTTAGTATAAAAGGACGTTTTTAACAACCTTCAAAATTTCGGTTGTATTACGCTCATGAAACTCAAAGATCCCTCACTAATCGCTGTTTACGAATAAATTTAGAATATCGAAGTTGCGATTGAGAAAAACGAATGAAGTGAGGAGAACGAAAATAAGACGCTGAAGAATCTGCCTTCCGTCCAATTATCTACTTGTGCGTATCTTACTTAGCAGAGATGTTTTAAAATAGTATAAACCAGCTCATTCTTCGTGCTATAACAAAGTTGCTCTGCATTTACCACACCTATCGCGGCTCTCATTCATAAATGGGAGGCAAAACTCGCTTCGGCGCCATTTTAACTACGTGAATCAGCCGCGTGCTCGTTTTCATTTTTTTTATTTTGAATTCTGCTATCATTTTTCGATTATTTACAAGGTGGTTTATCATTCTGCAATATCTCTTACAATCTAACAAAATAACAAGTGAGAATAAAGACTGTTTCACAACAAATAATTCTATTAATGCATAAAATTAGACTATGGCAGTTATTCTTTATATCTCCGACACAACTGTCGCAGTACACAGCTGATCGGCGAACGTGATAGACGGTCGTGACCGCTAGTCTCTCGTAGTTTAGTTCCGCCTGTTTTTGTATTGTGCCGCGAGTTATCAATATCATTTATCAATCGTAGGACTTTGATTATTTTCGTATTTACTCCAAGTTTTGTGATCATCAACACGGTTACACTATTAAGAATATTTCAGTGTTATAATCCTGTGTTGCTTGATTTCAAGCTCTCGAAAATTTCGTTAAGTAATGTGCACGAAAATTAAATAACTACAGGCAGAAACATTTAAATGGGTGCCGTTCAGTGAGTATGAATTGTTTTTTCTCTTTGCCAACAGATCCCCTACTGCTAGAACTCTATTTTTAACGGCTCGTAAGTCAAGTATTTTTTGGAATTACAATGGCGCACTGATATTCCAAATGATACATAGCCAAAATTATCGTGATCGTGCTAAAGGTGTAAGTATCAAAGCCGATTCGCGTTTGGAGATAATATGTTTATGTTTTGGTTACGGCTATCACGAATGAAAAAAAGACGAGCGTTTTGAGAAGTCAGGTTAGGATACTCATGGCAGTATTCGAAGTTTTGTTTGTTTGATTATTGCTTGCGTGGACAATTTTTCTGTCGCTCGCCTTTTCAACCGTACTTACTCGCGTAAATATCTGCGTTTGTGTTCAAAAACACTTGTTACAATAGAGACAGACTCGCGCGCAATTTTCAGTTGTTGAAATATTATATGCTCCGTTTCTTGACGCGATTATTGTTTACGATTGCGTTTCTCGCATGCAAGAGCGACGATCTAATCGAACTTTTTATATAATTTATAATACTGTTCATAAAAAGTAGGTTATGTTTGACAACGTACAATTACACAATTTTTTCTTATACATATGTGCACTGTCAAAGGCTTTTTCACGCTACTACTGTTCCCACTCGACGGAAAGATTTTATTTCATTATTACAAGCGATACTTTTGCAAGCATTATCATTTGATTTCGTAAGAAACACACAAAAATATTGCAATTAGTACTACTACATCAAGAAAAAAATTATTTTGTTTTCACACCTGTCACTGTTAGCTCACGATGTAAAGTGTTTTCTAAATTTTCCAAGAATTGATTATCCTTGTGTGTGTATGTGTATCTGTCTACGCGCGCACAATTAGAGCATATTATAAGCCTATAAGTATAATCTACTTCAAGTTCTTTATTTGCAGCGGTCAATGAATATTATGTAAGTTCACGCGCGCGCTTAAGTCCAATAGAGAGCTTTCTTTGCATTAACGATGTTTGTCGCAGTCATTTTCACAGAGGTGATATTTTTGGTAGATTCACAAATATTAGCTTATCTGTGAAATTGGATTCCGCCTTCTTAAATTTATAAAAATTTTGGGAAAAAACCAAACCAACTGAAAGATGTTTCAATTGAGGAAATGAAAATGAGTCTGAATGGCCCGAGTGCGTGGAAATAGTAACGTTATTTTCGTAAAATTATTTGCAAGTGAAAGAAAAAAGTCGAGATTTTTCTTTTGAAAACGCGTCGCGTTTTGATCAAAGCGATTTCATCTCTAGCGAAATTCGTTTTCCTTGAGAAGTGACTCGAATCTTTCAATCTATTCTGCAGAGTTAAAAATGAACTAGATCTTCAAAATAGCAATCAAATGAATTCGTCGTATTTTCGTAATGTTTATTGACAGATTCGATGATCATAATTCTCGCCCGCAGAAAGAAAAACAGCAGGTAAATAAATAATAAATGGTCGCATCGATCGGCGTCAGTCGAAACTCGGGATAAGCGACATCCACCGCATCTAATGACTCCAAAGCCGTAACTATCTGCGTAGGTATTTCGCTACTCCGCCTAGAGATAGTTACATATGCATCCTCGTGCTTTCTCCACGCTCGTGCCGTATTTCACGATACAAATATCTTGCCGACTGTCCGGGAATTCCGACCTCTCGTCGTCGTCGTCGTCGTCTTTTTTCCACTGCCGCTCGAGCGACCGTGGCTTCACCGAGACTCGTCCAAATATTTTTTACTCGACCGTCCATCAAGACCTCCCAAATTACTTAACGATCAAAGGCTCTTTGTAGACATCGCGCGCGGGCCTTTAAGCTGTTCGCTCGTTAGCGTGCTGCCCGGCTTCCTCGAGCGAGAACGCCGCCGTCCGTCAGGTGGTCAAAGGTGAACAAACACTGCCTCGGACTGGCCTCCTCGTAACAAAATGCAGGACTGCGAGATTCCATTGGAGCCACGCGCGCGCGAGCGTCGCGGCTTCTGGCGCGGCGCCAGATTCCTCGGCGGCCTGCTGACACGTCGCTCGGTCCCTCGCGACTTCCGTGTCGCTGCTTTTATCGGCCGCGAGAATGCAAGCCGAGAGAGAGAGAGAGAGAGAGAGTGTCAGCCAGCTAGCTCTGAACTTTCGCCTCGCCTCGCTGTGCTATCGACGACGGCGTCAGCTGGTCAGCTCGGTAACTCGAGCCCCGGCAGCACTCGTACGAGCGGCTCGGAGCGCGCGCGTCTTGGCCGTTACGTTAAAGAGGTCGCGGTGCAGCGCATCTAGGCGGTTTTGCCACTTGCGCCACGCTTTATTTACGACGGAGACTAAATTTGTGATCTCAACCGTGGCCCGTGAAAGAGCACAGACCGAAATCCACTCTGCGCCGTCCGATCGACGCTTTGACCGGAGGATCGTTCTCAGCGATCGGCGATCCGTGCGCTTCCGAGGCGAGCCTCTCTGTCGGAAGCGAGACGCGCAATCGCGGCAATGACGAACGCGCACGAGCCATCTGCCCGCACTGCCTCGACAACGTTGATCAGCCGCCTCTTGGAAATGACTCCCCGTTATTGCGCTCCTCGGCATCGCCGGCGTGATTTTTGTCCGAAACTTTTGCCGCGCGCGACAGCATCTCGCGGCTCATCCCAACGCGCCCCGCATGGACTTTAATGAGCAAGCGATTGCGAATGGGCCTTTGACGCAGGTAGTTTGTGAGTGGATTGGAAGGATGGGGACTGACGATGGGGGATTGCGGCCACTGCTCTAAATTCGTCACCATGCAGCTGTTTCACGAGTTGAAGCAACAGTTCCCCACGCTCCCCGACCACGTTGTCTCCCAATGCATCGTCCAGGTACTTATCAGCGATCACGTAAACGTCTTCCCTTTGTGTGCGATTCGTTCTTTCCTTTTCCTTCTCTTATGAGTGTGTTGTTCTTTCGGTTGACCTCGCTCCCCCCGCCCCCCTGCCCCACTTCTTTTTCTGCCTTTAGTTTTGGCTTTGCGCTTACAGCATGCACGCGTGTCTTATTAACGTGTGCTGCAATAATTTTGACTGCAAAAAAAAAGAACTTGGCCGCACTCGACTATTATGCTGATGCGTTCAAATTAATACCGCATAGTTGAAGATCCTTAAAGGTGCAACATTATCATTATTCTCAAGCCGAGCCGATTTGATTGTGATAAGTGTGAATTTATAACTAGTAAAAAGCGAAATTCAACTGCCAAATGAAAGAATGCAAATTGCGATTTACGTATTAACTCGATGACTTAATGGCAAAATATTGACAACTAAAGCGAGATTAATCGAACTTAAAATCAAATAAAAAGAAAAAACAAACAATAAACGGTGTTTTGTTTTGGTTATAGAGCAATCGCGATCGGGAGACGTGCACAAGACGGTTGCGAGCAAGACAGGACTCGCGACCACCCCCGGGTGCCTTTCCACCACCAGCGCCACAACCCGAAGATCCTATAGCTGAGATTTACTTGTCGGAGTATCCGCCGCTGAGGCTTGCAATGAGCGAGCAACGTCAAAATCCGCAACAACAATTGGCTGCCGTGGACCCATCCAAACTGCGGCCACTGACGCTGGACGTGGATACGCGGTCAGCGGCCATACAGACCTCGAGTCAAGAATCCTCGGCTTCATCGGCTCCCATGCTCAGCGATCCTTTCCTGGCCGCGCAATCGAAGCCTGCATCATCGTTCGCGCTCAGCGTCAATGTCAATTGCAGTCCGGTCGTTGAGGCGCACGGTGAGTTCGTCAAGCGTAAGGAAATCTAAAGGCCGCTTTGGTTTGCATTCAGCTGGCGCGATCAACAAAGTCGGCACGCGACCGTTCCCGAATGACAATACACTTATTGTAGACCTGCTGACGACATGCGTACCGGATGAATTGTCAGGCTACCAGCCGATCTTGATCCCCGCGGATCCTACCCCGCGAAGTGTCACTTCGGTCAGTTTAACCCTGCGACCACCGTCGAGCGAAGCCCCGCTACAACAACCCACCACTTCGAGCAGCATCGACATCAGTTCGCAAGGACTGAGCAGTCTTACCTACTCCAGTTCGGATCCTCGCGCTGGTGGTTATCAAAGTCACCTGCAAATCAGCATCGCTCGAAACAAACGACCGAAACTGCGACAGCCGCAGAGGCCTAATACATTGGATACATCGATTTACGACTTGAGAGCTCAATCCAGCCGACCGCCCGGTAATTCTCTCGATATATCCTATTACGTCACGCGGGTATCGTTGTATTTCAGAATACAAAGACTCGTTCGTTTACCCTTCATTGTATGACATCTTTTTTGTCAAGGGTTGCCATCAGGACCAGCCAATCTGTTACCTCCCCTAACAGCAGCGATGAGCGCACCAACTACACCATCAAGTCCAGCGCAAAACATTGCTTTACCGTCAAGCAGTTTGCCGACGACACCACTGGCTGGACCCTCTACGGGTCTTGCCGCGATCTCTTGTATACCTCATCATACGGCTAGTCGTGAAAATTCGTCTGGGTATCCGTCGCAATACCAAGGAATTTTGGCCGATGGTAAAACATTTTTCTCAATTTAAAACAGTTGAAAAGAAACATTTACATGTCGAGAAATAAAATATAAATCAAGCATCTCGTGACAAATATACCATCGAGTAGTCGAACACAATCGCTCTCTTTTACGTGTACGAATAACATCTTGCACGTATATTCATAAGAGAAAAAGAGAGAGAGAGAGAGCATAGATACCCCACGAGCTCCAGAAGATATTTACGCATTCCTGCAGCCCACCACTCGTGCTGGCTATACATAGAGAGAATGCGTGTGCGCAAGCTTCAGGCGTACACGCCACTACTCTTTCTGATGCTCACCTGGACCGCTTTATTCTGGATTATCTTTAGATAGACTCACGGCCGTCTTGGAATCCGTTCTAAAATTATCTATTCCGCGTTGGCTATGTCAATGATTATCAAACAATGCAAATGTCGTAGCAAATTCATACTTTCAAAGTTAATGTTATTTGGAAAAGATAATTATACATGATAAACGATATAATATACCTGGTCGATTACTCGACAACGAATTCATTTTACAATTGAATTATCAGTTCATCAGTCTGTTATAAATTAAATTTATTAACGTTTCCTATTTTTAGTTCCGTACGAGCTGAAATCTCTGGTGACAAATCAATTGATCAGCAGGGATCGACTTGCAGCAGTAGTAGCAGCCGAGAAACAAAAATTAGCCGCCTTGGAGCAGGAAGTTGAAATGCTGAATAAAGAAATATCACCAGAGGTAAAAGCAATAAAGTAAAGTAAAGTATTCTGTTTGGTCAATAAGCTTTCGTTGCATTTCCATATTCTAATTGCAATATTGCACTTACAGGAATATGAACGACAATTACACAGTGAGATATATCACTTGCAGCTAGAATGCGATAAGTTAGCCGACGAGGTTGACCGCGCTTCCGGTTCTCGAGGTATTTCAAAACTGATGATTCTTGTTTGAAGCGTTTATTCACGTGAGCTTATGCTTACAGTTCCCCTCGGAGAGACGAGTGAAGAATTCTATCAAAATATATACACAGGTCAGCAATTCGTTCCGACAACAACTAACAGAGAACCACCGCCTTTACCTAGTCAACCGCCCGCATGGGAGCCGCAATCGACTAGAACTGCAAATCAGGACGAGCCAGAAGGACCACCTTGGTTCTGCTCTCAATGCACTTTTGCAAATCACCCACAAATACAAAAATGCGAGTTATGCGAATCGCCAAGGTTCGTCGAGCGTCGTGAAGGTACTGCTAATCATACGACAGGCTTTTACAACTTTCCTTCTACATCAAGATGATTAATGCATATCGAGTTTAACGATTTTTCTCAATAACTGCATGTGTCAAGTATGTGAACAATAATATTTTATCGAGTAAAATAAGTACCTTTTTGACGTTCTGTGATAAAATCTAACCAGATGAAGCCTAATGCGTGAAGATGTTTCTATTGCTAGTTCGTAATTTTTTCTCTTAAGACTATACCAATACTAATTGGTATTTACTACGAAGAAATAAGTTAAAAAAATTTTCACTACTTCAGTTAGATAGCTTTTTAATATAATTGATGTTTAATCATACCTTTAAATAGGATTGAAGTAGTATTAAATGTTTTCTAGATGCATTTCTGCCATTTTTAGTCGACTAGTAGGCTTTTATGTAAAAACAGTTTAAAATCATTAATTTATTTTTTATTAATTAAACAACCGAGTTTCACTTAATAATGAATGAATTAATACATTTTTTAATAAATCTTTACATAATTTTTTAAAATAAATAGTGCATATTTATAAATAAGTAATATTAAACTTTCAGCGAGATGATTTTATGAGATTAGAGCGTTTTAAAATTTGTTTAAATTATTTGAAAATTATTGTAACAAACAAATGTGTATTTAATTTCTATATTCTGGAGTTTGTTAACTATACTAAAAGTTAACATGCATCAAATTATTAAATTAAAATTTATAATTCAATGACTATAAAATAATGTTCCGTACTATTTTAATATTTTTATTCTGTCAATTAAATGAAGTCTCTAGAATTATAATGATGCGATTCTTTTATAAAAGGATTTTAAGAATTACACATTGAGGTACTTTACATTTTAATAAAGGTTTTCTATGAATTTATTTGCATTTACAGAAAAGATTCAATAAACTAAATTTCACTTTAGTATTTTAACTAACACAATAATAAATTTTATTTCTTGTAATAAAACGGCAAAGTAAAACATACGAAATATTGAATATTATTTTGTACGATTCATGTATAGGTAACACTCAAGATATTCGCATAAGAGTTACTCATCATCACGAACTTCCACCGCGACGTAAGTTATCAAAGTTAATTAATTTCTGTTAACGTGTCATAATTCTATACACACAGACATTAAACTTACTTTTTTTCAGGAACACTCAATAATTGGGTAATATGATGTCTATCAATCAACAAGAATTTCAATTTGTATATAAAAAATGAGTTTATTGTATTTTTAAGCAATTCTTATTGTTTTGAATGACTGACTTAACCATGTATACATATCATACTTATATCATTTTTTATTTCTTATTAAAATATACAAGTCATTTTATCGTGTTACAATATTACCCATATATTTTAATTATTCAAAATGCACTGAATATAATAAACGCTATGGATTATTTGTGTATCACCAAAATAAACTACACTAAATTTTTTATTCATTACTAGATACAACTTTAGGTCTAGCTTTATTTCAAACCTAATTTTAAATAATTATAATATTGATTTTACTATACAAGTCTGAACGTCTTAATTTTTAACTTATATATACAATAGTGGTTACTCAGCTTTTTAATAAGATGTTTGATAAAATTTAAACATGTATCGGAACGTAAAAATATACAACATTTTAAATGGCTGTGCCGCGTTCAAGATTGAGTTTGGTTTCTCTTGTATGTTCTCCATAAAACCGTTCGAGCTTCTGGTTAAACTTAGCATTCCTTTCATTGATATAATCAATATCAGCATCATCGTTATGCATTCGTCTTCTGCTATATTTTTCACGCTTAGCAGCCCTGTAAAAATTAATTTACTGTTAAATAATAATTTAGTAAAGCTTCAATGACAGTAGAATTCATATAATACTCACTGTTTATCCAAGTCAGCAACCATTTTATCTATAGCTTCTTTTTTATCTTTGTGTAAACCATGTAAAATTGTGTTCCTGTCCCCGTAGAAAGCTGGTCCAAGTTTTTCCCTTGCTTCTTCATAGGCTTCCATATTTGGTTTTATATTTTTTACAAGTTGATTATAATGACGTACTGTTGCTTGTTCATAATCACCAAACCCGTCATTTGGTGAAATTTTCTTTTTCTTTCTTGACAATCGTTCAGCTTCTATTGCATTGACATGTAACATTTTTACTCTATCGTAATCAAGACCCTAGAAATATTTCACACACAAATAAATTAGTAAATGATATTAATGCACAATTTATTTGAAAAAAAGGACATTCACTTTTGCTTCAGCATCTTTTCTTGCTTTTTCATCATTCAGTAACCAATCTGCTTGACGCTTACGAGCTTCCCAATTAGAAGGCAACTTGTTCCGTTTATCCTCTTCAACAACTTCCTTGTGGTTTTGTTGACGTGCTTCGTTCTTAAAATTAATGAATAATTATTTCACATAACGATTAAAATTGAACTATATCGTTGACGTGCCTTCAGATTTTAATGATTTTACAATAACCAATACGATTATTCGCATCAATATTTACGTAATTACATGAGTAGCCTTGGGCGATTACGTGACTAAGCCTAATTTTTGGAGCCACGTAAATTTTTATTCATTTATTGTTTAGTAAGCGTTTTCATCAGTAGATTACACATTTTTTATTACTTTTTCTAATACAAATTATACTAAGGAACGCGTTGAAACAAGAACTCTTTTGATGAAATTTTGAATCTTTCTAATGTTTATTAAAAAAGTTGATAAAATTGTTATCAACAGATAAATTGATTTTCACTAATTACATTCTTGAAGTACGTATTAGTATTCACGTAAATACGTCACTATAATAAAAAAATACGGGAATGTAACTTTCTTTGTAAGTATATAAAATAGTTAATATAGTTAAACGAGCCATGTTAATATCACTTCAAAAATTCGAGACTGTAAAAAGCTTAAAAGAAATTAGTTTTAGAATCACATACTTAAGTGAGTAATCACGTAATTACGTGAATTTTGTTGCAAATAATCATATCGTAACAAAAATATAAGGTTAGGAATAACTGTACCCTTTTTACGTGAAGATTTTTTAAGCGGTTCAATCTTTCTGCATGTTTTTCAGCGAAAGTTTGGCCAACTGAAGCATTTGATGATGCTGCTTCACTCATTGTCAATATTTTTAAACTAGAAATGTTTGTTCCTTGACAATAACAAATGATAACAAATCACTATAAATCTGCAATTCAACACAAACGCCAGAGTCCAAATGGTAATACTATGTAGCATAGTATATACGTATATAGAAACAGTATGCGGTGAGTGCGATGATCGTTGACGCTAAGCGCCGAGAGCTTAACAGCGCTGACACTGGCTTAATTTGTCACCCGCGAAGTTCAAAATATAAATTATTTTCGATTGAGCATTATTAATAACACTAAAGAGGTACGTTAGATCAAGCCGATCAAGAACTTATTTTGGCTATGCCCCTACAACTTGACAAAACAAACCCATTTGATGTCATCGATGCTTAATCGTTAAAAATAATTTGAATTTTGGACTTCGATTCGTTATATATAATATACATTACACGTGAATGCCTATTTGTCCAACAAATTTTAAATACCGTTTAATTTTGAAAATGTATTCTATAATGACACCATTTAATAGTAACATGATGAAAAATTGTCAAATTAGAACATTACGATATAATTACGGAAAGTAGATTCTTGTCTCATGTGGCGTTTACGCCCGAGCGAAGCGAGTAAAATATTATTTGTTAAATGAAATAGTTTCTAATATAAATAAACTATGCGTAGTCACATCAATAAATTATAGAAGTTACAATTAAATTGATTAAATAGTTGGCTGTAAATTTGAGACTTTTAAATTAAGCATATTTATGGCTCACCAATCTCATAGTCAGAACATTCTATCAAGTTTTATCTAGCTTTAGAAAAACTGATTATTAATCAGAAAACTATATGGCTTTCATAATGTTTATCTATTACAGTAAAAAATAGTAATATAAAATAGTTGAACAAGATGAATCATTATTGCTATTAAAATATCATTTACAGTGAACAGTCCCAAATCATCAAAATAGTTCAAAATTTATCAAAAGATTGAGTGAGGTAGGAAGGTTTTTTTTTTTAGGTCAGGAATATTTGCTATAAAAATAGATAATAATTATTTTCACATTCAGACCTCTTCAGCAATAAATATTATTCAACACACACAGGATTTTGTTACATATGCATGTTCATTGTAAACATGACTGTCAAGTTTATGCGGTATAGAAAATATGCAAGGTACAGCTCCTTTTACTAGACGAGGATGTTTATAAGGAGTCTGAAAAAACAATGTTTTACATATTTTCCTTATTTTTCAAAGATACTCTACAAGACTATTATTTTTTCTTACGATTGATATTAATTTTCCAATGTGATCTCTACACACATATTCTTTTATAATTTGTCCTTTACGAAAATGTTTTTCGCAAATCCGATGGTTTTTTTTCAAAATACTACACCAGGAATGGCAGCTAACCACTTCTCATATTATGTTTTTCTGTCTTTTCATCAAGCACTTTAAAAGTTGATAAATTGTTATTGATTTTTTTACTCTTATTTGAATCACATGTTTGCACTAAGCAAGTCCACGACATTTTTATTTTTATTGGAAAATAACTTTTGATTATTGGATATTACACATGGATGAACACTGAAAAGAAAACAAAAAATATTACGATTAAGTTTTGACAGACAAGGATATGTCATTAAACTAAACAGCTAATTTAACGGCCGTCATTGCATGTTTAGCGCGGGCTTATCGAAAATTTTTAAGCGTTTCTTGTTCTTTCTTTTCATGTTTATTGAAGATATCGAGGATATTTAAGGTATGTATAATAACATATATATATATATATATATGTGTGTGTGTGTGTGTGTATGTATGTATGTATGCATGATGTATATTGTAACATCTTAATTGAAAGGTAAACATCACACAAAAAGGGAAAAAAACACTAATAAGAATTAGTATGGTTACAACAGTGTTTTATTTAGAATTATTTTTATTTATTATAAGTATAAGATGCACGAGTTACAATATCAAAATATATAAGGTACACAAATACCCATTTGGTAAGCTTTTACGTAACTTAAAAATTTCTGTAGAATAGAAATTCGTACAAAAGCAATACTATATAGTCTCAACAAATCACAAACAATCACAAAATTTTAAATGACACCACTTTTAGCACCACTGTAGTGACATTTTTTATAATTATAATAATTAATTAATTACTAACAATTATTGTATGTAAAATTGAATATTATTACGAATTTCAGATAAGTAATAAACTAATTAATAAATTGCAACAATAGAAAACTCTATAACTGCAAAAATAATGAAATTTGATAAAAATAAATGCAATTATAAGTACATAAATAGATATTTAACAATAATTTAAAATATTAAGCACGTTTTTGAGCACCATCAATATTTGCATAAAATTTATAATTATATTTGGATTGTTACTTTTCAGGAATTGTTAGAGATCTTGGCGTTTTTAAAATTAATTTCTATTATTTAAAAGTACATCATCTTCAGGTTGAGGAAGCCTTTTATACCTTTCTTGAGATACCAAATAAACAGTTAGAGCACCAAAAATAACAAATATCAGACCAATTATGTTAATTAATACTGCTTCTCCAGGAAGATCTCGATAATGTCTAGAAAATAAATGATTTTCTCAATTGCATCAATTATTTGGAAAATAATAACCATATTTTGTATGCACTTACGGTGGGACTTTATTAAAATCCAAACTGAAAATTGCCTTTTCTGTTAATCCTATTAAACAAGCAGCAATAGTAGCAACAAAACCAGCTGTTCCAAAATACACATGGATTGGTAAATATGCAGCTCGCAGTGGTGCTTGGATTGTTGGATAAAGAAAGGAAAGTAATCCTGCAACCCACTATAATACCATTGATAAAAAATATTTTTAAATAAAGAGAGAAGAGTGATTATTTTTTCATACCTGACAGCAAAATAATATCACACTTGCTAAACCCACCCAACTATGCAGCGAATACATATTGGGAATAGGAGGAGTTTTTAAATTATGCGAATCGAAAGCTGCGACAAGAGCAATAATTGTAAGTAACAATGTAAAAATCATAATTCCAGCATGTATCAGCTTTAGACGTCTTTTACGTATTGTTCTTTGTGATCTGTATATCAACATTCCTAGAAAAGTAAAAAAAGTTTAAAAATCCCAAAAGTTTAAAAAGTCTTGTAAAAATAATTTCAAACCTATTACCATTTGCATAAAGAAAAACAAGTCCAATAGTCATTAAAAGAGGATGCCAATTAAATTCAAGCTCTGGAATAGAAGTCCATCCAAAGCCATTTCGATACTGAACAAGCCATATTCCTACTAGTATTATTAAGAACAGTCCAGTACCTTCAGTCAAGTAAAATAAAAAACTAAATCCTTCTAATTTTTGAGCTTGGGTTGGTTCACCAATTTGATCCATGTCTGTAAATAATATTTTTTTTTGTTATTAGTACAAAAACAATAGAATGACTATGGAATTATTTTAATAATATTAATTCTGTCAATAAATACATGCTACACAAAGTATAGAAACTCCATGCAAACAAATTAGTAATTTTAAAAACCTTATAACAAAATATTTTGTTGATATCTATGTGTTAATAACATCAACATACCTTGACAAATTTCATATTCATATGGATAATCGTTAGGCATATGGAATGGTGTAGTTTGGTATGACTAAGAAACTGAATAAGATAAACATTGTTTACAACTCGTGCAGTGCTTATTTTCATTTTGCATTAAAAAAAATAATCTGTTGTGAAACACAGTATAATCATATTGTTATTAATCCAGAAATATATGCTATCATAAGTATGTAATTTACTGAACCCACATAATGTACAAGACAGTCATTTAATCTTAACTATTTTAGTTTGGGGTAAACCTTGAGAAAACATTGAAAAAAAATCATGACCAAGATAAAGTTAAATCACAATAGCACAACCATGGAGTAAAAAGCTAACAATACCATACAGCAATACATTAAGCAACTCGCATCCAATTATATATATATATATATATATATATATATATATATATATATATATATACACACACACATATACAATCTTGGTATTGCAGTTCAATGCAATAAAACCCGAATTTATGGAAAAAGTGCGAGTTTAAAACCGATTGCGGTACGTCATCTTATATATTTATGACAACCAAGTGAAAAATTCAAGTAGGACATTTAATTGTTTAATATGCAACTAGTTATGAAAGCACACAGCACAGATTAGTTGGTGATTGCTTCATTTTACCTGCATGCAAGTGCGGTGAGTTAGATATACTCTGACCCCGAAGCAACAAGCGACAAACAGATGGAGAAAAAGAAAATCAACAGGTGATTTTACTGCGAACGCTCCTAAGCGACTGACGCGCGCTCGCTGATTGATTTTCCAAAGGCGTGGTAGGTATAAGTATGGGAGAGGACGCGGGTGGCAGCGAAAGGCAGGTAGTACGTGATCGTTACACAAGAATTTTATTTTTATACATTACAAAAAATCGCTAGAGCTCCTTACAAATATCTGCAGGAGGACGTAAACGAAAAAAAAGTCTACGCAGACGTGGCTTTGTGCCTAAACCACTGGTTTTTATTGATGACATTGCTCCATTGTATATATATATGTACTTCTATTTTGACTGTTTCCTTCTCGCTGCGACATTCCAACAAGAATGCATTTAAGATAATTGCAAATACTTACACACCGCGTGTTCAAGTAGAGCTGAAGCGTTATTAAAGCGACCTCACGTGCTTTATTAACATTTTTCGTTAGACTTTAGATTGTTTTATTCGACACCTATTCGTGCAAACAAATGACATTTTTTCTAGCAGTATACATACAATAAATATATAACATTAGAATTTCAAAAAATAAGTTTTATTATTTTGTAAACATCTGCAGTATACATCATATGTATATTTTAGTAAGTGATATTTATTTACAGATTAAATAACCAGTTTTTCTTATTTTGCTTCGTAAGTGATTTAAAAAATCTGTTTTTACACATTTGAGATAATAATAATATATTTAATTTTATCGAGTTTTAACATAAAAATTAAGTAATAAGCAGAGGGCGTGCTGGAACAACAGCTGCTGAGTAGTCAGCTCGGCGGTGCGGCCTCATGCTTCGAAAGAGAAGAGTGTGTTTGCGATGACTTTTCTCACGTGTTCATTCTAATAAACACAGGCTTTAAAAGTTTTTTTTCTCATTATTTATATAATTCTTTTGCGTAATCCCATTTCGTGATACGCAATGCGGCGTCTAGGCGAAGAAAAGACGAAGTTAGTGCTTCTGAAGTTGGCAAAATAGTGAGTTAAACACATTTAGATTTACACCAATGAGGTTTAGGTTATATTTACGATTATTTTTTCTTTACTAATCAATAAACTTCTCAACTTTTACGTGTTTTATTCAAGATAGCTATTGATGATTTTATTTTCAAAAGTTTTTCTTTATTTCAGTATAGGTGATAATGTCAAATTTCTCTTGGAAAGGCCAGATGGTGTATACTGTTTTAGGGAACAGAAAGACAGAATTTACTATGTGTCAGAGAAAATTATAGCTTTAGCAAATACAGTAGCTCCTGACAATTTGATGAGTGTTGGCACATGCATAGGAAAATTCACTAAAACTGGCAAATTTCGTCTGCATATTACAGCATTGCACTATTTATCACCATATGCAAAAGTGAGATTTTTAATTATTGTGACAACTAATACTTTATTATTTTTAATCGTGAAATATTTTTATTAGAATAAAATATGGGTTAAGTCATCTGCTGAACAACAGTTCTTATATGGTAACCATGTAAATAAGGCTGGTTTGGGAAAAATAACTGACAATGTCAATCAGTATTCAGGAGTTGTTGTATATTCTATGAGTGATTTGCCACTGGTAACTATTTTTCTGATTTATAACTATTTTTCTAATAAATATGGATGATCATCATTCAAGATGAAATTATTATTTAAGGGATTTGGAGTTGCTGCTAAAAGTACTGCAGATTGTAAACATGCAGATCCACTATCAATAATTTGTTTTCACGAAGCTGATGTAGGTGAATATATTCGCAGCGAAGACACTCTGTTATAGGTAAATTTATAATTATTCATAGGGAAAAAAACATAAAAATACCAAAAAATAACAATTTTTTATTGATGTAACCTGGAAAATACATCGATATTAACTTAAAAAATTATATTCAACATAGAATTTTTATAAAAATATTTTTGATTTAGTTCAACAATTTTATAATAAAATACTATGAACAAATGCTTGCAATATTTATTATAAAAGTACAATAAAAAAATAACTTAACTATTTTTCGGTTAAACAACAGTTAATTATATTTTATCTGGGGTTGATTTTATCACCATAAAAGTCAAACTGCCAAAACTGATCTTGAGAATCAGAACATGCAGTTGCTATAACGTCATCTTTACTCTTAATACCTGTGGTATCAAGGCACAATCCAGTCCTCAAATGCAAAATTTTTCCATCCTATATCGAATGTCACAATTGCATATTAGTCATAGACATATTTTTTCAGAGATTTATATTTCTTATTTACAGTATTGCTTACCTCTGTCAAAATCCATTCTTTGTCATCTTCAATTTCTTCACACTCTTTCATACAAACTTTAAAAGTATCTTTTTTATTTTCATCTTCGATTACAGTGGCACATGTATCTTCTCTTCTCAGTTCTCCCTTTTTACTCAATGAAAAGTACTAAATAAAAATGTAATAATTAGTATATTTTTATTAGTTGTTGAAAGAAACTAAGTCTTATAATTACTATACCTGGCTAGGGAAAAGTTGTGAATGACATTCATACAATCCCAAGTTATATGGTTTTTCTTCATCACGTTGTAAATTATCTAGACACAAATTTCGTTTTTCCGCTCGAACTCTACCAAACGCTTGCACATTTTCATCTGGTATAAATTTTTCAGGATAAACATTGTCTAAATACCATTTAAAACTCTTACACTTTAATTTGTCACGTAAATTTATGCGATCTTTCACATCACCAATTAGTTGTGTGTCATACTGCAAAAAGTTAAGCAGATAATTACATCAATAAATGAATATATAATATAATTTTACTAATTTAAAAATATTAATTACTTTATACTCATCACGATGTAAGTAATACAGTCTTTTATAATCATCCATCCACACATTAGCTAATCTTGCAGTATTGATCCCATGAGTATCTTTATGTTCTGGTAGTGTATAAGGTATAAAATTTCTAAATACATGACCTACTCTAGAACAGGGAATAGTTTCAAGCACACCTCCACATTGCCATATCTAAAATATTCAATACAATCATTTTAATATGTAAATTATTAAAATTAGTGGTAAGAATAAATTTCTCTTTACTTACTCTAAATGATATTTCGAGATTTTCCCCTCCCCACCCATCCATTTTTTTATCATAACTTCCTATTTCCCAAAAATACTTTCTATCAATAGCAAAAAGACCTCCAGCCATTGTAGGTGAATTTACTGGAGATATGGGAGAGCTTTTGGCTTTTAAGTCTTTTTCTTGTACATTTATCCATGTAAAATGTCCAGACCATGTAAAACCACCAACTTGAAAAAATGATGGGTCATCACTATGAGAATATTCAAAAGTTTCTTCTGATATATTATCAATAATTGGAGTAACAACTGCATTTCTCTTGTCTTTTATTCGTTGGAGAAGTGGTTCCAACCTAAAATCAGAGTTATTAATTAAGGACAAAAATATTAGTTAATTTATACATATTCAAAAGTTTCTACAACCATTGTTTTGTTACTTCACAGTGAGCATCTAAAAACATTAGTACATCTCCTGTTGCATTTGTAGCTCCTTTCAACCTTGCTCCTACTAATCCTTTACGCTTTTCCAGTCTTAGTAATTTTACTTTTTTTGGTAATCTTGTTTTAATGAAATAATCTAACAGTCCTAATAGTTCTTCTGGAAAATGAAAAATAATAGACATTAATTTATATTTTAAATATATATTACAACATTATACAAATTCAAAAAGTAGTGTTTTAATTATGAACCTTCATCGCTTTTATCATCAACTAAAATAATTTCCTTCAATAATCTTGGTGGTGTCTCTTTGAGAACACTGTAGACTGTGCGTAAAAGTACACTAAAGGCCTCATTATGAAAAATTATAATTATACTTGCTCCTGGTAATGAGTTATCATAAGTTATATTTCTACAACTGTAAAAAAATAATATTATGCAAACAATCTCATTAAATTTAAGTCATGTGACATAAATTTACTTACAGTGGATCTCTTACATCTAGCAATTTCCTTTGTAAAGGTATTTTATTCGAAAGAATAATATTTATTGCTTTATCTTTTAAAACTTTATTTCCTTTGACTTTTTCTTCTCCCGTCAAATAAGCAGGTTTCCCATATTCACCCAATTTTGGTAAAATACTTTGAATATATTTACTGATCCACTTTTCATACCTTAATTGTACACAAAATTCATATTTTAAGAAGTTGAAAACTAAAAAATATTTATAATATTAAGTAGTATCTTACTTCTCATTTTCTTTGTACTTTGTATGATTTTTCAGAAAATTCTCCTGTAAAAAAACATCTTCTTCGGGCACATTGTTGTTATCAGTTGTATATAAAATCTGTCTGATAATAATCAATGTAAAAACTGCATATAAAAAGTAAATTACGTATCTAATCCTGAAGCAAAATATTTTCATGTTTGTGTGTTTTACATGGTCTCTATTGTTTATGTATTAACAATATGCCACATAGATCAATAACTAACTTTCCATTTCAATTAACGTAAAGTTGGGAAGTGAGGTTATATGCCATTGACATAATATATAATAAACACACAATACATGGCGATGGCATACGCATATAGGAAACAGGTCGTTGCAGTAAAATTTATAGAATTCAGCAAATCCGAACTTGCATACTTATGTTACTATTGTAACTGACGTTTGTATTACAAAATACAAACGTTTTTAAAGCTATTCTGTATATTTAATAATAAATATGAAGCCATTTATAGTTTTTTAAATCTTCAGATATTGTCGATTATTATTTATACGTATTTATGAGATTCACGGCACTGAAGGTAAAATTATAATATTGTTTATGTTAAGGAGTCACAGTGGCTCAATGGGTAAGAACTCATTACTTAGTAGGCTTCTATATGAAGATAAGGTCGTATCAAGCATGTAAGGATTTTCAAAAATGAAATTTTCATGTTTGTATTGTGATTCCGGTGATTCAGATTCCACCGTAAACTGTAGTCCAGTCATGATACATGTACAAAACTTTCTCTTCCCGTACTATTTAAAAAAATAGTAGGGAGGTGGCTCTCATTACTCTCGTTACTCATGACTATAGAGAATTAGGGAATCACGCAATCGAAACGACCCTGGCCGAAAAATGATTGATTAAAAGAAAAAAATACCACTAGTTTCATTTTAATTTGTACCATCAGAAAAATGCTTTGTTATCCATGTTCGCTTTTGAACGGCACGGCTGAACGCGCCAAAAGTATACTCGAGCGTTTCGTTTCGTTTCGTTTTAATGGCTGTGGGTACCCGAGGACTCCGATGCGCCAATATACTCGAGCGAGGAGAACCCACGTGACCCTATTAGAAAGAGACAGATATGCACACTCGGCTCGTTCTCTCTCTTTCTACACTGGAGCGTCGGCATATCAAATAGACTGACGGTCTATACTTAGTATGTCTATGCTGGAATCACGGCTAATGTGTAAGGCTGTGCAGCGTTCCACGTGAACGTAGTTTTTGACGTTAGAATAATAATAACACAATGAAATATGAAAAATAAAAATTTAATTTATTCAAAAATTAATTTTTCATTATACAAAATTTGATTTATATACTATTGAATATAAAGATCACAATTACCTACATGTAGTAGTTACTTTTAAAGTGTTAAAAAATTTATCCATTGGCAGAAAGTTTTGTTTATAAAATTGGAAAAACTTACATATTTCATAAAAATATCAAAATAGTTATCAAATTTATTTGGTCTTATGTGATTATTTTTGCACAATTAGGTATTTTCATATTACCTGACAATAATTTGAAAACATTCATTGATTAAAACGAGTTGCCTTAAAACTTATATAATATAAGATAATGTTCTTATTTTTAATTTCAGTAAAATCTATTGCTTATTTGAAATTCTATAATGATAAAAAAAATCAATGCTAATATAAACTTAGTTTATCTGTTAGATTGTAACTTCAATTTTTGAAATATCTTTCTATTTCAGTAAATGATTTTCCCAAAGTTTCTGGTAAAAAGACATATACAAAACCAACACTTATAAGTGATGTAACACTAAAGAAGAAAAATACACCTTGTGTACCCATTTCTGCAATAATATATGGATATCCTTTTATCATTCCAAACATCATTATATATGCAATAGATACCATATAACCTCCTATCATGCCTCTAACTGAAATAGGTAGTAGTTCTCCAATCAATGTCCATGGAATAATTACAAAGCCTAAACAACTTGTGCACACGAATAAAAGAACAATCACAAGTAAAAGCCATTTCTGATCTGCCATGACTTCTTTTAGTTTACCACTTTCATCTGGTGACGAAGTTATGTATAAATACATAGCTGAAAAAAACATGGAAAAAGCCATACCCAGTCCACTTGTTATTAAAAGTATGCGTCGTCCAAATTTCTTACTGAAAAATGCTGTGAGTATGCTTATAAGGAAGCGTATTATGCCAAGGATAACCATAGCACCATACTTGTTTAATCCTTTTCCAAATTGCCCTCCTAGTTTATCAAATACAGATAGAGCATAAAATATAATCACATAAGTTCCAGTAAGTTGTTGAAACAGAAATAAAAATAACAAAATGATGCATGGTTTGTAAACAGTTGTAGTTCCTAATTGATGATAAAAATATAAACACTTTTTCACAAACGAATCATTTGGTAAATCATTTGTCTTCTGATTTTGGGAAACTTCACTTATACGTTTCAATTCTTGATTATAAATCTATAAAAATATATTTTTAACAGTTAGCTAAATGTTTTTCTAATCAAAAACATTTAAAATATTCAAAACTCACTTCTTCAGACTTATTTAATTTTTTTAGAACTGCTTCTAATTTATTTGCTTGCTCTTCTGAGTTTTTATTTCTAAAACACTTTATCCAGTAAGGGCTTTCGGGTATGAGAAATAATATAAAAAATATGAATATGTGAAGAACTAAAAATACAATAGCCATCTTTTTCCATGTAAGCCATACACCTAGACAGTACGTCAATAAAATACCCAGTGAAACAAAAATTGAGTTGAAACATAGTAACATAGGTCTTATGTTTGGATGTGTAATCTCTGATATATACACAATTCCAACAGTTGATAATCCTCCTGATAAGCCAGCAATTATTCGTGCAATATAAATCATTGTCATTGAATTGGCAAATATCAATATGATCCAGGAAATTAAACCTGGTATGCATGATGCCAAACATATTTTTTTTCTTCCAAATAAATCCATTAAAGGTCCAACAATAAAAGATCCAAGTGGCAGTGCAATAGTTACCAAACTTGCTAATAATCATAATAATAATAATAAGTACAAAAATTCATATAAATTTAAATTTAACTATGATTTATTAAAAAATTTTAATATTTACCTGTCCAAGATAATTGATCTACTGTAGCAGAAAAATCCTTTGTTAATCCATCTTCTAAAATTGTGCTGTAAGCCATGTTTATGCCAGCTTGAATAACAATACAATGTGCTAAGCAGCTCATCATGACCTTCAAAAACAAAGTATGATTTATAGAAACAAATTTATGAAATATATTATTAGTATAAAATTTAATTTACCTGAGGCATTACATCTTTCAAAGAAAGTTTATGTGAAACGGATGCTTCAAATTCATGAGTAATCAGCTGTCCTCTGAAAAATATTTTCCTTACATGATACATCATTGTAACTGATTAAAAATTAACAATTTTTCACTTTTTTTTTTTTCTAAAACTTATAAGCTTTATTTTAAAAAATAATCATTTTATGATGTCAGCCATCTTCAAAGTAGCTGTAATAATGATCAAGTCACTTTAAGTAGTATCAAGGATAAGTCAATCTTATATATACTTTTTTAGAATATGCAATGAGTAACCTTCAGCTATGCAAGTTAAGTCTTTTATAGTTATGAAAGACAGCAGAATATTTATGGTTCTCTCAATTATCATTACATTACTGCAAATAAAATATTCTATATAGTCTCCTTCTGAATAAAAGCTCTTTTACTTTTTTAATAAATTCATACAAAGTTGTATTATTATTATTGATAGTCAATATTTATCATTATCATTATTCATATTAGGCATACAGAAATGTGTAACATTTTGTGTCAGTGCAGCTTACTTGTGTTAATTCAATGTAGTTTTAGTAATGAAAAATATTTTTATCATTGTTAAAAAGATATTTAATACTCACTCTAATGTATTTTCCTGGTTATTAGTTTGATTATTTATTTCATTGCTTGATGAACCTAAGTAACCAGAATTACTGGGAGTAGACTCATTGTTAAATTCAACAATTAATGCAGTCTTTTCAAGGGGTAGATTTTTACTGATTTCCATTCTAAAAAACAATAATATAAAATCATGTAAAAAAAATATTTAGTTTCTTAATATATTAGTAATTGATGAAATGTGAAATAATACAAGTTACTTTTTTCACTGAAAAAAAATATATTTTTTTTATTGAAAACATTAATTATAATATAATAAAAGCACTTAATTTTTTTCTATTATAAATTAATATAAACATCAACATTATTGATTTTTCCATAAAAAAGCGCTAAGAATATTGCTTTCTGTAAATTTGGTACAATTCAAATAGTTAACAAAATGAAACATCTTTGAACTTGTTTAATTTACTGAACTGTTTTAAAGTCTTGCATTTAACTAGCTTTAGAAATAGTGATACAGCAAATTTTTTAATTGCATGTAAATATTCGGACTTCTCTTTCCATAATTTTAGTCGGGCATAACAAAAAAAACTATGATTTTCCAATTAAAATTACTCACTTGCGCGTGTGATCGAAAATACTGAAGTGAAACCAATAATTATCTATCTAATTTATAATATCCTTTATCAGTAGAGATAATTTCTCCTTATCTTGTCCTCAATCAATGTCTAATTTCTTTGAAAATAGTTTTTTTGTAATCAATACCTATTATATCCTATTTAAGTTAAAAACGGGTACATTTTATATATATATACATACATCACATACGTTAGAATTTTTGTTTCAGTATTGGATTTTAATGATTCGCTTGTGTGTATATGTTGTATGCCTACATGAGTAATATAAAAAGATTGATCATTGAACTTGTTCAGAAGAGTATATTACATAAGATTCAATTGTGTGTATGACGGCTACGATTTGTGACAGTTGTACCGTATAGTTAAAAAACCGTGAACGGCAAATGTCAGCTTGATCAGTATAACGACTAACCTATAGACGTGTTCAGCTATGGAACTTACAGAGACTCAGATAAAATGTTTGATAAATGAGGAAAATTTTAATAATTTGAGTGAAGATTCTTTTGAGAAGATATTGCAAATTGCCTTATCTCACGTGTGTGGCCGCTTCAATACTCAGGGTACATATATAATTATATTTATCGACTACACACATTGTTGAATGTTTGTCATTTGTTGTTTTGGCACGTAAACACATTTAAATATCTCATTCGTTATATCTTTTTGTGAGACTGTCTTAAATATAAACATTTTTTTAAGATTTGATCGACAAACGTTCATCTAATGTTATTATTAAGAATGAAAACATAAGTGCATGACACTTTTAAAGTTTTGTATTGTATTTTGAAAATTATAAAATATTTAAATGTACATCTACTTTTTTCAATACTACAGTATTGTATGTTATTTTTAAGACTATTGATAACTTTATACCTTCCTTATTTTAGATCTCTCACAAATAGACAGCTCTAAACCTGACATAGTCAAAACTGCATATGCTGATATAACAAAGTTACTCATGGAGAGTGCTAGGAATAATGCAACTGTAGAAGAGTTGAGAACTTTATTGAATTATACTGATTTAAACAAGATTTTGATCAATTCATTTTGTGATGCTTACGAAAACCACCAGAAAGAAATTCAAGAAAATTTAGAGACTGTTGGAAATAGTTTATCACATATTGTTGATGTAGAATGGCAATTAGATTATTGCATAAAGGTATAAATGTAACTTTTCAATTTCATCATTTTTATATGAAAATAATCTTTTTTATTATTTTGTTACTTTATATAGTCTAATGTACACAACCCTGCAGGAATTATAAATTACCATCTATCTCTAAGTACCATGAAAAATGGAACAATAGAGCATATTAAATTTACCTGTACACAACAACAACTACAAGAATTAGTCTATAAATTGAAAGATGCTACAAGGCATGTGGAAAAGTTAACTAGTTCTTAGATAAAATTTAGAGTAATAAATCTTACACTTCTAAAAGTTTTCTAAATATTTTCTATAAGAATCATATGTATAAGTTAAATAAAAGACCAACAATCTTAATGGTGCATTCTATTATATTTTTGCATGAAGAGGAAAACATCTCCTGATCCGTTTTAATAACTGATTAAAAATACATATTTTCCGATCATATATTCATCTAGAAATTAATATCTTCTGACAACAAAAAAGATACTATCAGTAAGTTCTTAAGTATTAAATACAGAATTATATTATTAATATAATAATTTTTAATTATCGCTTCATATATAAATTCTTTAAACATGATACACTATGTACAAATAAATTGGAGTTTACACCCCATTCTAAAAAAAGAAGAAAGTGTAAATCTGTCGCATTTCATAAATAAATTTTTCATTCCGCACTTTTCACATGCTGCTGTTTTTGTTAATCATCCTTACCGAAACATGTTTATTTACGCACCCGATTTGCTTTTCGAAAATTGTTACTTTTTAAAAAGAGTATGATAATATATAATTTTGTAATTTTTCACGAACGATAAATTCTCCTTGATTTAAAAGGAAGGTACTCAGTATTCTGTGGAGAAAATATCGTATGGTCCGTTCGCATTTAAAACGGTGTAACGATCACAGCGTTAGATTATTAACTAGTCATGCAATACAAGTTGCAGAGTTATCATTGAATAAATTTATTGTTCCACGTCCATTTACTCAATATAAGATATGATAAGGCCTCGGGCGTTTCACTACATCTCTCAGTCCTCGAATATTTTCAAGTTGAATTGTTTATAATTTTGTGTAAACTTTTTATTCATAAGAAAATAAGTTATCTCTTACACAACGATTGATATTTTTAAAGCTTATCTAGACACGATAAAACCATTCATCAATTTCTTATTTGAAAAAAAAGTCCTCCAAGCAATTTTCCTTTAATTCGATTACTGAAAAAAAATATTCGAGGCTGTAAACTATCCGAATTTGTCAACCTATGATATAAAAATGTGTTTGTTTCCATAACATGGTAAATTCAGGATATACATCTAACATTTTTATATTTTCTTTGTAACCATTGAAATTGACGATTTTTGCAAACGCTAATAACGATCAAGAAACGAAACCAGTTATATTTTAATCATGTGTGATTAATTGAAAAATTAAATGCTATCAAATAGCACATATATACCGAAGCTCAAGCAATTCAGATAATATTTCATCAATAGCCATTAGATGTTATTAGAATAATATTGGAACAAATGTATGACATTTTTCTTTTTACAATAAAACTAGTTAGCTATTCAAATAAAATTCTAAATATATTTTGCCCTGGAAATGTCGGAAAATCAAAACGAAAACAAATATAAAATAACAATAACCATTGCACACAATTATTAGAGATATGATATAAGACTGTAGTGTTATATCATACAATTTTATGTGATATAACAAAACAATCACACTTATAAAAACCACTTGGCTCATTTTCTTATTGAAAACTACTAAACGAAAATAATGTCAACTGAATTGCAGCAGCTTCAGTGTAACGCTAGTTAAGAACAGTCATCCTAAACAGACAATCTACAAAACAATTATACAGCAATCATCGTTTGTGTGCGACATATAACATTTCGACTCGGCTAATGAATTTTCAGCAAACATGTTGATTTATGTATCGATTTGAATATACGACTATTACATTTTTCGCGTTGCTTCTCGTCAATTATTTTTTATTGATGGCAATTTATCGCTCATGGTATACAAGTAGCTATTATATTCTAAAGTTAAGAATATTACATCGCAACTGCTACTTTGGGTTTTCCTGGAAGCAGATATAAATTCATTTGGATGATTCTAAATTAAAAATGAATTTTTCAAAGAAAAAATGACAAAATTAACGCACGTTATGTATTTGTTTGTTTGTGAATGATATAATGGGATTGTAAAATTCGCAAGATTCTTTAAAAATCAATGGACCTCAGTGATAAATTTATATTAATCGACATATGAAATTTAAAAAAAAAATAGAAATGAACTCGATTCTGCGTAAATGCTGTGCTCAACACAAGACAAAGCCATTTGCCTCGACATAAGAAATAAAACATTAGATTGTATATGTACAATAATTTACACGGCACAGTAACAAAAAAAAGAAAACACCCTTTTCAAAATTGAATGTCCATTACGATTCGATTTTGCCTTTCTGTGGCTCTGCTGCGACATGTTTTGCAAGAGTATCACCTTTCTTTTCTGAATTTTCAATTTTTATTTCCTGCTTATTATCCGGAGTGTCGATCGTTTTCTTCATATCAACTTTATCACCTTCCTTCGCAACGTTGGCGTTTTTACTAACGTCCGATTTGTTTTCCGTAGTTTCTACAGGAATTTTATTCTCCACTACACTTTTCTCTTTACTCTGTTGCGTCGAATCTCCGTCTTTGAGTTTCTCACTGTTTACCGTTGTCTCAGCAATACCTCCATTGACTTTAGAGCTTTTCTCTGTTTTATCGGCCTCCTTAGTAGCCGATGGAGCGGCAATAGCAGCAGCTGGCCCTGCTGTCGTTTTTGACTCGGGTTCTGATGTTTTAACTTCGGAGATATCGTTTTGTTTAACTACCTGATCTCCGCTAGGTTTCTTAGCATTTGGACTTGACTTTGGCTTGGCGTCACTGGATTTGTGCGCTGGCTGCGGCTGCGTCTGCTTGTTGCCATTGTCGGACGACTTAGTTAGTTCAGCTCTAGTGAGATCAAAGGCGTTGTGCGCGAGACCTTTAGCCAACTGCATGGCAATGGTGTCGACATCGGAGGAGGTCGGCGGCGACTTGGCTTTCGACGAAGGGCTACTGGGTGGAACCCGTTGCACCGCGGGCGCAGCACTGGTCTGTGGCGCGAGGTAGCCGGAGCGCTGGTAGAGCTTGTTGATTGCGGGCGGCAGGCTGCTGTGGAAGGCACTTGGGGTTACAGTTGACATGCCGATGGGCGACCTGATGAGCGGATTGGCGAAGCGAGTGGCGTCAGAGAAGTGTGCCGGCGGAAAGTGTGAATAGATCAGGCGTGGATTGGTGTTAGGCGTGTGCGACGGGATGAACGGGTTCGTCGAAAGCATATTCACCGGCGAGTTTCGCGGAGAGATCGGCGAGCTGCTATTGCGGATATCGCGTGAGAACGGGCTGTTCTGATAACTGCGTGCTGTCGGCGAGTATGGCGGTGGCGAAACTATCGGCGAGTTGGGATTCGAGACTATTGGCGACAATGTTTGAGGATCGATCTTCATCATTGTCGCGCTATTTTTTGAGCTGCTTGATTGGTCTTTTTCCTTCGCCTGTTCGTTAACTACGCTGTACATTGGTTTCACACCGGATGCCGGGTTACCTACGACCACAACAAATAATATTTCATTGACGAGTGCATTATGTGACGCATTATTCAAAGGTAACAATGACATTTTTTTATCTAATTTTTTTTATATTTACGCAATCTAATATAAATTATGTCATCGTTTGGAGAATATATGTTTACTTGATTCAAAAGTTGAATATAAGAGGATACTCGATTAATGATATTTCAAAAGTTATAAGGAAATACTGAAGAAAATTCATATTTATAACTCTAGCTTTAAAGTAGTGAAAGAAGCAATAAAACACTTACCCAAATAACGTGGCATATTTTTGATTTTGAAAATCTTTGCAGGCTTAGAAGGTATCTGTTTGGAGACGTTACTTCCATCGCTGACTCCGTAAGCTGCTTGCGTTTGATTTTGAAGTTCCTTCGCCTGATTCTTGACGGCAACATAATTATTTTTCGACAATGTAGGATTCCAAGATTTTGGCGGATCCCTGAGCGTTTTGTAACCGACAGGCTGTAAGTGCTTCTTTTGTGGCTGCATTTTTTGCAACTGTGAGTTTATCATGGCCTGAGACATAGTCGAAGTTACGAGCTTATTCGGTTCGTTACTAAGTGCTACTGCCGGACTACTGCTCGGCGTGTAAATCGGCACGTTAGGGATATTAGGTATATGCTTCACAGGACCACTTTCGCTTGTAGGACTCTTTGAGATTTTTAAAAGATCGGGAACCTCTGGCTTACCACGCTGAGACTCGATCTTATTCTTTTCCTTGGAACTTTCGCCGATTTTAGCGCAAATGTCATTGATCTTCGAGCCGGCGCTCTGTCTGGCGTTCTTATCGAGAGACGAACCTTTGGGTACATCCTTGCGGGCGTTCAGTGACTTCATGAGCGAGATAGGTATACCGTCGGGACAAGGCGGCACGGAAAACATGTTGGTAACGTCGAGACCGGACTGCTTGGGACTCGGTTGCTTAGGCGGACTACTGTAGTTGTTTTTAGACGTGGTGATCGAGTATATGCTCATCGATGGCGTCTGAATACTGAATCGGCCCAGAGTACTCGGAGTAGTGACAGTAGTGGTCGAGCACACGATATCCTTACCGATATGCGGCATACCGGGCATCGAGCGTAGCTGCTGATCTGCACTCAGAGCTTTTGCATTCTTCACGGCAGAGTTACGTTGTACTAACCAGTTGTTCAAATTCACCTGACTCGGGATCGTTGTTGATACATGCATTCCGATCGACGCTAGACTTTCTGTACTAGACGCGGCTAAAGAATGCAACACGTCGTTAGGCTGTGGTACTTTGATCGACGTATCGCTCGGTGCTGTAACATAAGTTGGCGCCGTTGCGATGCCTGCAAGACTGCTTCTCGAGTAGTTTGGCGCACAGGTGACTGCTGGTTTAACGTCAATTGGTTCCTCGGATTTTACTTCAGGTTTTGGTGAAGTTTTTTGCGCTTTGACATCAACGACTTTTGAAGGAGAGCCCGCCTTTTTATCAGCCACAAGTGACTTTTTTGCATAGGTGTTGTTGACTTGGCCAACCTTTGGCTGAAATTGTAGTTTTGCACTAAGGGCATTGATCTTCGAGCCTGCACTTGGCGTTGATTTGGCATTTTGCTTTACACTTGCTTCGGATTTGGCCTCATTGTTAATGACGTTATTGTTGGTGGTAGTTGAATTCTGCTTAACCTCCGGGTTTTCAAATGCACTAACCGGTTCTGTTTTTACTTTATCTTGTGACTGTTGTTGCGTTTGGGTCTTATTGTTTGACGAATTGTTTGACACTTTCGACTGTTTACTTTCGCTTTCGTTTTTCAATATTTCATTCGACAAATCACGCTGGTGGTCGATTGACTGGACTTCCATCTCTTCGTCCTTAGACACGGACGTTGTATTTGACTTAGCGTCCGAAGTTTCCTCGTTTTTCTTGTTTACCTCTTGATGCGCTCTTTTATTTTTCAACAATGCTGTTGACTTCGTCATTTCTTTTTCTTCTTTTACTGTGATTTTATTTACATTACTGGTGTTTGTAACTGCCTGATCTGAATTATTCTGTTGATTAGCTGCATTACTTTTTGTACTATTTTTTCCATCCAAGCTTGATATATCCGTCACACTCATTACGCCTGTTTCAGATATTTTCAACTGAACCTCTTTCCATTCACGCTTCATGGATTGCTCACTATCCTTCGATTCAAATTCTATATTACTATTTAAGAGAGACTGTTTAAACTCATCATTGTCATCTGAAATTTTTAATCTTTTTGACGCTGATTCAAATATTCTATAACTCAGATGAAGTGGCACTTTCTGTGAAAGGAATAACATTTCATAAAAATTATATTATTCTAAATCAGAAAAAACTCGATTATTATTTACTAACCGTTTTCCAATGGTAAATATACATAATGTCCATTAATGTATAATTTGCACTAAGTGGTTCTTCTTTGTACATAATATCTACTCGATGAGCTTCACTTAAGCCATATTTAGCTCTTATCAATTTTTGAAGATGGAAAACTGTAACAGCAGCTGGACACCGCAAATACCTTTTAGGTAAATGCTTTGATACAGCTTCTTTGTTATTTTCAACATCTTCTTTATTTTCTGGAGAGTAATACTCTAATGATAAACTTAATGACTCATCTGGAGAGTAAATATAACTATCATCTGGTTCTCCCCTGGCTTCAGAAGATGTCACCTTACTTTTTTCTTGTGGTCGCTTGTCATAAAACTCTTTACGCTTTCGCATCTCATCTGGAAAAGACAATATGAAAGAGTTTTAATTCATGAAATTAGTATAAATTGATGTAAAACTAATAATAAAACTCACTTTGGTAGCAGCCTGGTACCAATTTGTAAACAATATCTTGCAACATTTGATCAGATCTAATATTCAATAGTGGTTTGTTCTTATGTACTTGAACCTTGCAAATAGGACAATACTTATTGTTTTCCAAGTATTTGACAATACAACTTTTACAAACTGCAACATTAATAGAAACATTAACATCTTATCCATGAATGAAGTGAAAGCTGAGGATAAAATAATTTCTTACATGAATGTAGGCACTCTATTATCGTTGTGGCATCTACGAAATATCCACCACATAATTTACATGTCAACGCATCATTGAATGTTGACAATCGCAACCTCTGCCCTCCACTTTGGCCCGACATTCTGTAAGAAAAAAACAACATGAGTCTATAAGTAATGAGGAATAACCTGCTTGAATGTACTATTTAAGTTTAACTAATCACCATGTTATAGGGAAGGGAATAATGAGATTATGACAAGGTTATTAAATTTAGGAAAAAATAAACATGACCAGCTGTTCCTATGGTAGCAATGTTCCCAGAGTTGCACTGCACATCGCAATACCAAGAACAGTTGGTACACAAAGCATGCAAGAGTACTCATTATTGTACAAGCCACTTAGCCTCAAACTATCGGTGCCATGACATAAAGAAAGTCATGGACAGCGATGTCGACGCGAAGCAGTGTGTAAGGAGCTGCAGGATATAGAAAAAAGAACTTACTCGGTGCAGTCGGAGCACTGGGAGCTAAATAAAAGTGGACTGCATGCGGCGGGCGGCTGACGAGCCACAACCGTGTGAAAGTCAGTAAAGCTGAGTCGGCGCCTGGCAAGTAGTCGTGTGTACGTCGCGCAAAACTAGACTCGTTGTCGACAATTTGTCAGCAAACAAGCAAACACCGACAAAGCCATGATCACGCACACGCGGTGGACAACGTTGGCGACGGCTTTAAGATTAATTAACGGGACGAGTTGCTTGTTCGCTCACGTTCGGGTATCCAAAGTCAGCCACTGGAATTCATGGTTGTAAAATAGGCCAGCGGCACTGCTGCCAGCTCTCCCTCTCTTGCTCGCGCGCGCGTTATGAGATATATACAACACCTAGAGAGACAGCTAGACGAGAGAATAGCTCTTAGGAGGAGAGCAAAAAGTACGCGCTGCGCAAAATGGCGGATGATAAACAAGAGCGTCGTAGCCAGGAGCTGCCGAAAGTCGCAGCAAAAGCGTTCCCTGGACGATCAACGATTTGCTACTGTACGACAAGGACCAGATCCACGGACTGAGATATATACATGGCTAACGCCGCACGCCATCACGGCGACGATCCCTTTCCGAAAACATCGAGCTTACGCGACTGGCCGCGATCTTTAGGGGCGGCGCACTACCGCAGTCGAGACACTCTCCCATTGGCTAGTCGGCGTCAAGCATTACTGCGCATGCTTCTATCTTATCTCGCTCCTCTTTTCGCGTAAGCGGCAGCTAAGTCTGTCTCTCGCTGCGAAACCGCACTGCATATAGAGTGCATTATGCATTTGATACGCGCGATGCGCCGCTCTACACACTGCATATGCCTCTTGGCTACCTATCTAATTGTCTTCATTCTTGATAAATGCTTTGCTTCATTGCCCTTCACGGATTCATACGATGCGTCGTCGCTCAGCTTTTCACATGTTTTCACAGTTTCATTCGTTTTTGTGTCAAACGATCACGACAAGTCTTTTTGGTGTCCACAATAAATCGATGCACTTTAATCGAGGAAAAAATTAATTTTAATACAAATTTTAAAGAAAGGTGCTCCAATGAACGTTTATCGATGCATTGATTTCTCATCACAAATACTGACACTTATGTAAATGTTCAAATGAAAACACCAAAGAACAATTTTAACTTTGGACACTTCGCGATGGTACTCGCAATCAATCAAGAACCGTCGGATGAGGAAACAGTCTTGAACGTTTATGCTCCGCGCGTACGAGCTATTTACCGAAAAAGCTTTTTTAAACGCGCGCTTTTCATTAAAAGTTATTAATTAATACTTGAACGCTTATAGATGAGGCCACCTGCGTAACAAATTTTTAACTTTTTCCAAGCGTTTTTACCAAAATTGTTATTCAAAGGTATATTGTCATAGAAAGCTTGGTAGAAGTATTCCCCAAGTTTGTCCAAAGAAAACATACGAATAACGAAGTTTGGCATCGTTTCGTAGGACAACTTTAATTAAACTTTATTAAACGTAAATGTAGCAGACGTGCGGAAAATGTTAAAATACTTTTATGACGGAAAATTGGAAATTTTATAATTGAGTATACAGTTGCACATGGAATTGTTTAGGAAAAAAATACATCCGAGTACTTGCAACTAGAGTTTTAGATAGTTAATAGAAGCTTCAAAATAGTGTTATCAACTTCTCAATGGAAGTTCTAAGAAGCGGAATGATTAATCTTGCTTCTTTTTTCGATAGTTTGAAGTTTCAAAGTATACAATATATATATACGTGTGTGTGAGAAAGTGATTTGAACCTCATTTAAACGTTTGCGCCCGAGCGAAAAGTGATTCATAATCTACCTGATTATCAATTGTAAGTTATCTACATCTTGCAATTTGCATTGTCTATGCACCCCAGCGGAAAATAACGTGAAAATCGTTCGACTTGAAAGCGAATTTTCAGTCACTTCAATTCGACGGGACTCATTTTGATACGTTAAAAATGAAAAGTACTTGTTCATTTCAACCAGAACATTTACTTGCCTTGTTTCAGTACTGCTGCAACTTCGTTCAATTTAAATTTCATCGTTCGAGTGATGGCGCAAGCATAGATTATGTGTGAGCTATCGACATATTCGTTCGAACAATTGGCCCTCGATAAATGAACGATTTCACAAAAAAGTTCTATAATTCAAGCATAAATTTTTGTCTGTTACATGTAGCATTTCTACCCAATGATGACACAATATTGCTCTTAATTCGTAGCTTTGAAGTTGCGGTCTCCGGAAAAACAATTTTACATGGTTGTCTTTTATTAAACTGAAAAATATTCTAAACTATAAAATTACTCATACAGTAATTTTTATTCTGCTAAGATATCGGTAAAAGAAATACGACTAAAACACAACATAATAATAATATGGATATTGTGATGCCAATTTTAGCTATGGAACATCGAATAACACCGTAAGCACAATTCGCTTAGGAAAAGAATCTCAGGACAGAAGATAATTTACCTCTTGTTACAGAAGGATCGTCTCTGGAGGACTTCCTTCTTACGGAAACAAGATTTGTTTTCTAAATGAAAAAGTAAGCAATAAAAGGTTTGCGATTTCTCATGTTTGCAGAACTTGTCTTCAACTGCACAATAGCATTTGCTCGTTATTGAAAGATACTATTTACGCTTTTGGTGCATCTAAATTTTGCGTTTATTTTTCTTTAAACAATTGTCATACTTTAAAATGAGAATTCTCATGGAGCGAGAAGAATTCTCTTTCTACAAGAAAACTTTTTCCAGTGGTATTAAAACTTCTGGCCTATACTTCCCAACCGATTTCAAAAAGCAATTTGATTGACCGCATTAATCGTAGTGGTCCATATTGGGTATCACGCATGAAGGGTGGTTCCCGGTAAGTACTGGCACTGTTACATTCCAATGTAGTTACACGGGTGCTTTTTCGACGAGTTCTTGCCTTGACGAGAAAATCAGCGTTGCGACTACTTATCTGCATACAGGACAACTCGGACACTTTCTACAAGATTCAAAGTGCAATCAATTTTCCAAAAGCTCGGCCGCATATTACTTAATTCACTATCTTAAATATGGAAAGTAAGCATTCAGTCGATGTAATTTGCAGTATTACCAGTAACATTGCTGTAAGTTCGTTTATCAAAATCGAACGCAGCAAGAATAAATGCGTTGCTAGGTGCGTTTGTTCATCGACGACGTTTGTTTTTGTTTAGTTAATTGATGTGAGCATACTGCAAATATCTTATGTTAACCTAGTTGCACATTCACGTTGAATAAACACACGATCTATTCTTATTTCCTTTATTCATACGTCTGATAGTTACAACACTTGCGTCAGTTAATAAAAAAAATGTTATAATTGCTTTTTAGACAGCATTGACTGGAATCAAAGCGTGAAATACGTATTTTTGGTAAGTTTCCGGCAAAAGCTCGAATTTTTGTACTCTTAAATCGATTCTAACCCTTTGAGTGCTTCGAATTCGCACAGTTCCAACGTTTAAATAAAAAAATAGTAAATTGCTTCAACGGCTTAAATGACTTCGCAGGATCAAACAGAACGTTTCATCGATATACTTTTAATTGGCCCATGTTACGTTCAAAATAAAAATAGTTAAAATTTTTAATATTTTGAAAAGCATTAAATGCTTGAGCCTTCGAGTTGTTGAGTTGGCTAATGAACTTTTCAAGTTTTTAAACAAAATATCCATGGACTTCATGATGGACGAAAACTCAAGTTGATCGAGACTCGGGATTCCGATCTGACCCGAGCTTTTACACTCTTGAGATTATCAGGTATTTTTTTCTTTTCATTTTTCTAAAAACTTAATTAATTGTAACTCACTGAAAGTCGGTAAAACGGTCTGATGAGCTCAAAAAATCGAATATTCTGGTAGGTTTGAAGGCTTCACTTAAATTTATCGATCTTACGCGTGAAATAACTTGCGAGCTCAAGCCGCTGAAAAAGCTGCAGTCGGTTAGGAGCTTACAGAAGGTTAAAAGGACTTAAATTTCTATAGCGTTCGAAGATCAGAACGGCATGGAAAGCAGCTGAGCCGAGCCGGTTCGAACTTTTGACCTCTACGAAGTACCTACGCAATGTTTGAAAGTTTCAAGCACCGTGATTTTTCTTTGAAGGCGGCCTCGAATATTTACGCGTGTTTAGTTCCCAAACGTGGAAAATTCGGCCGAAAGGGGTGTACGGAGAGAGCGGGCGCGCATCCAAGCGAAACTTCCGAATATGCGTACGCGAATTCGACGCGACTGCACTTCCGGGGCCAGAATGCAATTGTTCGTGTGCATGGCAGTGTCTGCTCGCCATAGCCATGCTGACGAGTCCGACGAGTACACGTGGTACGAAATGGCCGTGTGTTGTTTTTTGAAATGCACTCGCTGCTGACGAATTCGTAGTTTAATTTGCATGCAAGTAATTTGCTATCAGTGCCCATCCACTTGTGATACTTTTTAGGTATTTCTATATATGCAGCAGGTGAGTGCAGATGTTTCAACTACGATGCTACCATTAGCCTATTCCAAACAAATTTCTCCACCGACTTTCGTTCATTAGCCGTCAAATCCTAACCCTCGTTCAATCGGTTCGACAGCTTGAGTGACTTGCGTTTGGATTCGGACGACTTGATATTCCAGTCTCGTTAGACAACGTTGCCGCTGAAAACGTTTATCCGTCCCGACGCAACCCATTAAAATCCCAAACCCATTTACGCGGGCTCATCGTGTGGACGTAGAGGCCGCACGAGGTATCAAAACGTACTTGTATGCGTGTACCTTACTTAGCCGAGACGAACGCGAGTAGGCCCGAAGAAGACGATGTTCACAGCGCGAGATAACATATTCCGCGCGTACGCCACCTATTTACAGATTGAGTATCGTCTGCACATATAAACCCAACCCAATGAGTCGAACCTCCGTAATTCGAACAGCAAAGCACCGAGTGAATAATTCGAATTACGCAGGCTGTGCATTGTATGGCTATATTTATGCGTGTATTATAAATGTTTATTAATTAATAGTATATATGTAAAAATGCAATATATTTATATATGCATACATTTAGTTATTTGATTATGTAGATTTAGTCAGACATAAATTGATAAAAACATGTATTTTGTTCAACGTTCGAATAATTGCTGGTTTCGAAAAAAACGGATTGATTCCTATATAAAAATGCGAAAATCATCTATCAATATTTCTTTAAAAAGTTGGAGACGTTCGACCTCTTTAGACTGGTAATTTCTTTTCTTTAGTGCCAAGTTTACAAGTTTATTGATAATTGGAAGTATATCTTCATCCATATTTTGTTGTCATTCAACAAAATTTTTTTTACAACTCCTTGTCGCCACAAACGCTCTTCATCATCATATTATTACGAACTCAAAACTTGACAGTTAGCCATTTGCTGGCTTTTGCATTTTTCAGAATCACAACTGCTAGCAAACTGCTATATAGCTTGAAAAATTGGCCCGTTTATACAATATAAATTTTCTTATTGCATGCTTGTTATGAACCCATTTGCTTGCTACAAAAGTTGCATTTATT